TACTCCCTCTAACTCTCTCTCTCTCTCTCTCTCTCTCTCACCCTCTCTCTCTTCTTTCTATCTGTTGCTGCACAGCAACACGTAGCTCTCCCTCTGCGCCGCCCTCCCGAAGTGATCTCAGCATCGCGGTGCTGAGGGGCGAGGCGTAGCTCCGGGAGGAGAGGGAGTCACCAACTAACGAACACACGGAAATCACTGGAACCACATCAACTGGAAATAAACTATGATGCGTTTCCACTGTCACTGTGAAATAAGCGCCTATTGACAGCAATGTTGTCCCAGAAGCTTCATATTGCTATATGACAGTGACGCCTTAACAAACACACGTTATTACATTATATAGATCACAAGACAGTTCCACAGATTATATACAGAATACATAAAGATTTCTTCACTTCTATAAAGTTGAACAACTCACAAAAGAATGATAGATATAGCTTGACTTAAAAAGCCCTTAAAAATTCCCATGATACAATGTTGGGTACCACAGAAACAGTATGAGTGTACTGTGAAAACATACCACTGCACTAGTAAAAAACACTGCTGTTGTTTTTTATAAATGCTTATGAGGACTGATGCTTTCACACAAAGGTTACCATTGATTGTCTTGTCTTCGGTCATTGATCACACACATTCACTGTCATGCAGTGTGGATCAATAGAAGTATGACATTGCCGGCGTCTCCTTACTTGATATACTGTTTACTAATCCTCCCTGCAGTTTTTATGAGAGCTTTGTTGTTTGGTTCCAGAAAACCATTTGCTTTCATCACTGACCACCACCACCACCATCTCCACTATTACCTGCATCTCCTTTTATCAGTTCAGTGGCGACATCATTAACAGCCCTGTCTAGCAGAACACAAAGCCAGTGTTAAAGCTGCGGCCTTGCAGAACAGCCTTACTTTTATTGATTAAGTGTTGAAGGTTTTTCTTTTGCACGTCCCAATGTGTGTAATGAGGTAATTGCGGCTGCAGACAAAAGCTGCTTTATAAGACTTCTCTTGTGTGCGTGCTTGTTAGTATACCATCAGTTAGCCTTTTGTCAATGGGCATATTGCACAGTAGAAAGGTGTGATGCTGGTAAATTGTTCATTACGTCCAGAGGTTTATGGCCTAAGTCTAAGCCGTTGAGTCTACTGAAAAAAAGCTTAACATTCGAGGCCTTTTGGTTTGTGATGAAATACACATGTGAAATACACATGTGGCCAGTTCTTATTCCCAACACAGTTTTAAGTAGCCACTATAAAGGCGGCAGCACTCCCACTTCATTCTGTTGAATGAGAAGACCTAAAGTGAAGGCTTTAATAGCCGCTATCGCTCCCTCAGGCTGTGCCACTGTGATCATATCTCCTTTGTTTACTGACCACCCTGGTTAAGACACTAGGCTTTAGCTGCATTTCAAAATACATTTAGGATCATTGGAAGCAATTTACTGCTTGCTGTATTGGATTGCAGTACTTGTTTGGAAATATAACCATAGGCTGCAGGCAGCACTGGAACTGTTTACTCCTAAACAGGATCTTTCACTCGCAGATTTTTTTTTACTCCAAGGCAGCTAGCACATTAATATTTCATTACATTTATTCTTCTCTCAACAATTGCAGCTTAACATGAGCATGTTAAGCCAATGAGATAGCCTGTACAGATTGGGTCTTTACAGTTGTATTCACTCATGCCATCTTCTCATTCCAGATGCTTTTAGGCGTTTAAAACTAAAACCTATGCTCTTCAGGTACTCCCGATATTGTAATATATATCATTTTATAGGCCTCTACAGATCCTCTACACCCTCTTGCAGCAGATTTGTAGGATTTGGGAAGCTTAACAAGAGCCTTGGAAGCACACACAGCCACTCTCTGCTGATTACAATACTGTGAAATTACAGACTTTTTCTTATTAATACCCCTCACTTGTGGGATCCATCTGTGGCTGTGTGGGAATGTTGTGCAATGAATATAATCCTATTTAGTCTATCAATACCCTCGTCCAGCAGGGTCTTATTGAGTACCTGGGTATCATTCTCTGTTCACTGAGATTCCTTGATGTTTGTGATCTGTATTATTCTGATTATTTCTCATCATATTTCCTCTCCCTGTGTGGGAACGCCTTATAATCCCATGTTGGCAACAGCATTCCTTTACTATGGCACATTTTGGATGGGAGATGTCACAGCTCTAAGGATTATTAGGTGACAGTCAGTGTTTATCCTTTACCTGCTGCGAAATGTTCATTTTCCGTGCACAATATCTGATTTAGGTGAAAATAATGGGTGTCTTCTCACTTTGCAAGCTCCATCAGTCCTGAAAGGTATCTCTGATGGCAATCACACACCTCCTCAGATTTCATTAGCGTGGGTGAAAGAGCTTGATGTTTGTAATAACGAATGTCATCAGGACTTTGTTCAGGATTACTGAGGCGGTTTGTTCTAAATTATTTGTGCTAACCAGACTATCATCTGCAGATTATTCACTTTCTTCTTTTCATTGAACTGGGCGGCTTTTGATTCATTCTTCTCCCACATGGTTGAGTTTAATGTGCTGCTATGTGGAGGAGGAACTATTCCTCATAGCTTATTCCTCAACAAGTCTCCTTAGATCTGCTTTCTTATTGATAGCAGGCGTAGCTTTTCAAAGAAATCCTTCTGTCTCACTTCATCACGGCAAGTTTGCTATCACAAACTACCAGTGGTGAAAGAATCACTCAGATCCTTTATTTAAGCATAAGTGCTAATACATTGATGTAAAAATACTCTGTTACAAGTAAAAGCCATACCTTCAAATCCTACTTAGAGGTCCAGTGTGTAACATTTAGGAGGATCCATTGTAAGAAATAAAATATAATATTCATAGGTATGTTTTCATTAGTGTATAATCACCTAAAAATAAGACTCGTTGTCTTGTGTTTTTATTACCTCAGAATGAGACGTTTTTATTTACAGACACTCGCCTTCTGTGGAGGCCGCCATGTTTCTACAGTAGCTCAGAACGAATGTAAACAAACACTGGCTCTCTGCTTGTTTTGTGGCCACTATAGTCCCTCTGTCACGCTTGGTAAAGCTAAACGAATGAGTTGCAATCTGCCCCTACACCGTTAAATGCCACTAAATCCCACACACTGCTCCTTTAAACTACTACAAGGTGTTTTCAAATGGTTATGAAACAGTCCCAATTTAACACCGATGCCTCTATATGCCCTAGACCATCAGCAAGAAGAAAGCTGAGATCATATGACATTATTAGATTGTTAATACTGGTGCATCACTAAGTAGTTTATTGTTGTACCTGATGTAGGTGGAGCTAGTTTTAACTACACAATTAGGTTGAGCCCAGTTGTACCAAACGTAGGGGTCAGGCGTCCTCCAAAGGGTAGTGGGGTAGAAAAGAAGAAACAATTTTCTACGCCAATTTTTATTTTATTTTTTCTTCTTTTTTGGCTTCTCTTTGTGAAAAAAATTTGATAATTTCACGTCTTTGAGAATTTCAGAGGTGAAACGTCGCTACACACTAACTACACACTAACTACACACTGCTTTTCATTTAATCTTTAACAATGCAATATATCACAGTTTTATCACAGAGTTTTTATGTAAAATCTGTATCATAAAAGTAACTATGATCCAATAATTGGCACCCACCAACTGTAATAGCTAACTGAATGTTAGCAATCTTACTGGTGCTTGGTGAGCTAGCTAGCTAGCTAACGTTAGCTAATGCAGCTCAGCCGGGGAGGACACCATTAATGTTTAAATCCTGCAATCCTGTCACCACCACAAGCCTCTCGTCCATGAGTAGATCCACTCTTCCTTCTGCATGGTGGTATGTAGACAGAAAATAGTTCCTACATGAAACTGCTCACACCATGGTCTGAGGATTACCTTGAGTAATCGGGTCATGAGTTCTGGAAAGAGACATTGCTGTTGAGTTTAAAAAAAAAAAAAAAATAGTACCTCAAGCTGAGAGCCATCTGGTTTATATTATATATACTTTATATTGGAGAGATGTCTGACATCTACCTCATCTCTAACTCGACAGCTCACAGTAAAACAATATAGATGATATAAATAGCACAGGTAAGAGTAAAATATGTATTTTTGATTGTGGGGTGAAATGTCCCTTTAAGTACAGTAGTTGAATAAATGTAGTTAATTTCCATCATTACAAACAATAATGTAAAGTTGAAACGATTTG